TTCAAGAAAGTTTCTTCACTGTTCTCTTCACTATTGTCAAAATAAAACTAAATCTGCAAGTCATATAGAGAATTGTAAATATATAAAATTTGTAGACTTGCATAAAGCGAGTGCGTCAATGATGTAACCAGGATAACGTTATTATTATTATTGATTCTCATATGGGAAATAGCTTTATTTACATCGGTCTTATCTGGTTCGCTTCCACAGCGTTCGTACGGTATATGCAATGATCAGAATCGGAACTATCTCGTATTCGCAATTGTGAAAATGCATTTCACGTGTCCAGTTTCATTGGGTTCGCCGTCCGCATCTTTTTCATTCACTAGAGAGCACTTAAGTTTAGATGATAAAATTGCGAGTGTCTCGGATCTAGGGAAATATCGTATTGTATAGGTATACAATATTGCGTTATTTATGGTCAGATTCGAGCTGCAAATACGGAATACATTTATATTGCAAACAGTGAAATGGGCAATTTAGAGAGCGACTTTGGTTACATTTTGCAAATGAAAAATGCGTTTCTATTATTCATTTCTTACATCACTGACTATTGCTATTATTAGAAAAGATCTATTCAAAGTTTACTTATTTGTTTGATATTTTCAATTGTTATTCGCTGTATCTACTTTGTAGTCAGGAAATATCAGTTGTTACGTTATATAGTTATTTCATACATTAACCAGATATTACATGACGCCATACGAAGTATGAAATAAATAGACGCATGGCGAAAATAGTAACTTGAAGAATATAGAGAATAATTATACCAAAAATTGTTAATATTATAAATGCTCAACGAAATTATTCGTTTTTGTAGTTAGAAGATTCAATTATTCTATGATTATAACTGGAATAATCGTATAACTAAATAAAGTGTACAATATTGTAGATGTATTTTATCTATTGTTTCTACAGTAGCTTCAAAAATAAAGTATATAATAGCGAATTAATTGATACTTTAACTATTATGTAATAAATTATACTCTTTAGCGGGACACATAAAAAAAACTACCAGTTTCTAGACTAGACTAAAACCATTTGTAATAAAAAGTAATTGATTAACGAAGTTTGATTGAATCAATCCTAGATTAATGCATGCTAGTTTTATATCACTAATAAATACATTTTGATTTATGTTATATAAATTATACAAAACTAATTTCATTGTCCTTTTTGGGCAATTTGGTGATTTCTAATATAGAGAAAATATTCAATTTTTTTTCTTAATCGAAAAAAAAGATATACAAATATCAACAAATTCTTCAAACTATCTACTATTATTTGTTCCAACCAAATATGTACTCGCGAAATATTTTCATCACAGATTTTTTTTTTCAATAAATAAACCTGTCGTGTTATATATAATGGCATTCCTATAACATTTTAGTTATAATTCTTCCAGTCTTTTTATTAAAATTGCATAAATTAGTAATCAGTCGTAAAATAAATCTCATTTATGTGTCACAATTAAGTCATAATATACGAGTTTGGCGGATTTATTTATTTCTAAATCAATAACTTCATGTAAACTTTCTTCGATGTCAATGGAATTACCCGTTTTCTCGATGCGGAAAGGCGCAAATCATAAATGTCGAAGAGATCGTTAAAAGTTTCATGATGACAATTTTTTCGAATCCTGTAAATTATTCAGTATTCCTCTGTGAAACGAACACATTTTGTTGGTCTGAGCTGTTTTATTGTTGGGAATTCACATTCGCATAGAATGTTAATATAATATATTAATTATTTAGTATATTTAACAAAGAATTATTATATAATTTTGAAAATGTTCTAATTAATTTGCTTTTGAATGAAATTAAATTTAAATTACACATATTATTTATATTTAATAAAAGATTATATTTCTAGTATTACTTAGTATTTATACCAAATACTATTATATAGTATAAACCAGAGTTTCTCAAAATGCCTTTTTTAAATAATTTTGTAAATGTAAATGTCGAAAATTTGATGTAATTCACTTTTGTAATATTAGACTACTATTTTAATTTTACTTACAAAATCATGAATCATTGTTTTATTCTCTATTGTGTGGAACCTCTCCTTTGTTTATGTTTGATTTTGCGAAAGCCATTGTTTGAAGAACGTCTGAGAAGTAGAAAATATGCAAGTTCTCTACAAAAATTGGATTTCGTATTTTTTTGTAATTTTATTAATTAACTTCGTTTATAAGAAAATCTATTCTATATTTTAGAAATGAAACATATCAAATTACAATGCGAGTTAAAATAGACAATGAAGTTCTCCAGACCTATCAATTTACGAATATGAATTATTAATTTGTTTGACTTGATTTCGAAAAATCTTCAGTACTTACTTTGTTTTTATATTTTTATATAAATATATATTTTATTATATAAATAATGAAATCTTTTAATTTTTTGAGCGCAATATTCCATCAAAATTATAAAGTTAATATTTATATGCAAATTGAAGTCGAATCAAGTTTATTTTTAACTCTTAGTTTTTCAGCTCTTTGATACAATAAAATGATGATATAGTAATGATAATATGTTATTTTTTATATTATATTAATCAACGGGAATTTCCATTATGATTATGTAATGTATAATTACTACATATTTAAATTTTTCATTTCAATAGACAAAATTAAAATATCATAATATGGGTAAAGTAAAAAGTTCTGAGCGTTTTGTCCCACACATCGAGCTTCTTCTTGAGACCAGCTTTATGCAAATGGTTCCAAACTGTTTTCTGGCCAATCTTCAGTTCCTGGGCAATGGAATAAGTCCAACTTAACGATTTCCATGATTTTATCAACATTTTCGACGATTGGTCTAACAGAGCGTGTCTCATCTTCGACGTCCATATTACCAGAACACAAGCATTGCATTCGATACTGTATTGGGTCCATAAACAACAATATTTTTTTTGCCGCCTACTCCGCTTTTTCCCTTGGTCATAGTGGTTGATACTGAAGAATGTATCGAATTTTCTCTTTTTTACATCAATTTTGGAACGCTCTAACGCAAAACTGGATTCACTAAAAGTGGCAGTATAGAATGACAAGATGCAACGTATACATCGTGTGATATGGCTCACTAAAGCGAAAAACGAAAAACGCTCAAAACTTCTTACTTCACCCAATATTTGCTACAATTCTTTGTAAATTAAAAAAAAAAACTATAGATATTATTTTGATATTTAAGTGTGGCATTAATTGATATTTCATCATTAAGTGTTGATCTATAAATAAGATGAAAGGAATAAAATTGGATAGATAAAATATTATTTTTTTATTGCACTTAAATTTATTTATATATGCTCAAAAAAAATATAACAGATACAGATTGTTTAAACTGAAGTACTGAATTTTAAATTTATGTTGAAGCAAACATTTTGGAAAATTAAATTGGCGTAATAACATCAACAAGAGATTGTAAAAATGTATACTTTGTCGAAAGCAGACTAAAAATTTGATGCAAATTAATAATATTTATTGAAAGAGTGGAATATAAACAAATATAATCATAATAATTAAATAACAAATTAAGTTAAGCTCTTTGTTTCCGTCCACGTCCAAATTGTTGATATAAAATTTTAATCGGACTATGATATAAATTGTTGGAACAAAATTTTAATTTATTTTTTCTGTTCAAACAAACAAATTTACAGTTTTGTAAAAAAATAATAAAAAGTAATATTGACAGAAAAGATCTTTCAAATATATTCTGTAGATTGTAATTGTAAATTTATGTAATGTAAAAATATTTAATTATATTAGTATAAGTCACTTTGCAAATTATTTAATTCTAAAAATAAGTCTCTCAAATATATAATAGTTTTATTAAGGAATGAATATGTAGTTATCTAATTAAATATAAAGATAATAATTATGAATTTATGTAATGTAAGAAAAATAAAGATACATCAATATAGGAGAATTTAATATAAAAATATATAGTTTATTATTGCAAAATTGAGTTTAGATCGTAATTGATGGCAATAACTTCGTAATGTTAATAGAATGTGGATGAATGTGCGTTAAATAAATTAGGATCTATAAATAATTTGCGGAATTGAAACGGACGAAGATGGAATTAATATAATGTATAAATAATTAATTAGATGAAGATATTGTTGGACTGATGCAAGTTAATTTGGTAAATGATCAGGCGGGGGCGGGTAATAATGGTGGAGGCGCCGCAGCACACTCGGTGTGTTTGTATTATATGTAATGATAATAACACGAATCTCCCTTCCCTTTGGATGTGTAGATGTGTCCATTTGAGCGTGTGTGCGTCTTCTTTCCTTCATTTCGTTCCGCTCTTCTTCCTCTTTTTCATGCTCCATACACACACACACACAGACACGCGCACACATACACATAATACATACGTACACATTCACTCAAATGTAATCGACTCTCTCTCAGCGAGGCCCTATAATTCCCTTTAAATTATTATAACCTTGCCGGCTGATTGTGATCCTCGTATGGGTGGCAATGTGTCGCATTTTTTTTATGCGCTGAAATTTCCTTTTTTATCGAAAATCGCAGAAGTATCGCATATAAGACCGACGGATGCATCGGAGACCAATCAGTCGTCACTTGGTCAACACACGAAACGGTGTGAGGTACTACAACATATATATATACATACACATACAAATATATATATATATATATATATCCACATACTATCAAACCGTGTGTAAGAAATTGTGTATTTGTGCGCAACTTTTTTCCCCGTCTTAAATCTACACCCGAAACGAAAATATCAACAGTAAGTAATAACTTAAGTAAATCCTGATTTTTAAGACCAAAGACCAAAAGCGAAAGATCAACAAAATAAATAAACCTTAATAAATTAAACAGAGAGAGTTTGATGTTGGAGTGCATGTATGTCTGATGGTTTGAGCGAGCTGGTAGTTTTTTGAAGGAAGGAGAGTGGTGGAGTTGCTTTGGGAGTAGGCGAAGAGAGTGATGATGAGTGTTATGATGATCCTTGTTGCAGATGCATCACCGATCTGCGAGTATAAGCACTCAAAGAGTGTGGGCATTCATGGCTCTTGCGCTCGTGCTGCAGATGGTTTCCGGGAGTCCGGCGCAACGGATGTCGCCGCTTCTCTCTCATCACCTAAGCAAAAGGGGCGGCTTTCTAGACCTCCAATGCAAGGGCGTCTACGAAAGCAGCATATTCGCAAAGCTGGACCGCATCTGCGAGGACTGCTACAACTTATTCAGGGAACCCAAACTACAAGGATTGTGCAAGTAAATAAACACATATATATATATCTTCGCATTTTTATCAAAATACATTATTTGAGAAAATAACTTATTTTTGTTTCGCAAGTTTAATTTTTCTGTACGAGATGTACAAATTTTTCGCAAGAATTTTTCATTTAAAAATAGAACAATTTTGTCAATTTTTTATCAAACTATTTTCATTTATAAAAAGAATATTTTGTTGCTGCAACAAGTTATATTTTTTTACAAGACTTCTCACGACATTCACAAATCTTATTTACTCTCCGTCGAACAATTTCAAGAATAGAAATAGTACTTTTTTTTGAAAATTGTAAATTATTTCTGTAATTCTCAAATATTTAAAACTGATATATTAACCAAAACAACATAACTTAATGTGTTAATATAAATATTACTTTAGATATTATCAACTTATATAATAAGGCTACAAAAAGTAGAACAGTTTCCATATATACTTTATGTTGCATATTATATTAATATTTATTTCAAAATACAGTTAGAAAATTTTACTTCAAAGAAATTCTTAATGTAATATTTAAATTTGTGTTCAATTGCATCAAACGCTTCTTATATTTATTTAAAAAATGGAAGAATTATATCGGTGAAGGAAATGCAAAATCTCAGTAGAAGATACAAATAAATATGATCGTATTTTATTGTTAAAGATACTAAATAAGTAAACAAAATGGTAAATGATAAAAAATTTGATAATTATTTACTATTCTAAAAGCGAAATATTTAAATTACATGCGGATCATCGACCCGATACACTTTTTATGTTTATTTGAAATAAAGTAGGAAGAATCGTGTTGATATTTCCAAATGTATAATTAATTTAATGTTACGTTAACAGATGTTTTGCGTTACGCGTTCATCAATTATCGGCATTTATATTTAGCGAATAATTGGTTTGTTTATAGAATCACTTCTATTCACATATATATTAACTTCGTTTTATATGACGCAACTTCATTTGTTCAATGTTTATTCACATGAATATATAGTTATTTTTATATATATATATAAATTTATTTTAATTGGATTCATTATAATACTATTGCTATTCCTAGAATATTCGATGCGAGTGTATATATTCATATTTAAATCTTCGATAATATTAAGTTCTTCTTATAGCCTGAATCCGATGGAAAAGATCGAATTTACACAATACGCTTTATTTCTTTCGCACTAATTTGTAAATGCGTTCGTTTAAACAAAAAAAATGCGTATGGTGAAAACGAATGTTTGCTTTTTGGAGACTTTCGAAAAGAAGGTTTCCTGTTATGCACGGTATGTGTGTCAGAGGTGATCAGACTTCTTGGTAAATGGGGATGCTGTCTGTCTACGTGCATCTTCGCTGGTCTCTCGCCCAGCACTTCTTTTTTTTTTTTATCTATATTAGCTGCCTCGTCGTTTTTGGAATTTCCCGTTCCGATTTTTTTTAAATTTTATCAACCTCTTTTATTCATCTACATAATTTTGTATACAAAATATATCAATGTTTATTCTTTATAGTTTATGTGTTCTTGATGTTTGCCGTTTCAGGAATAACTGTTTCACGACAAATATTTTCAAAGGGTGCCTGGAATCGCTGCAGCTCAACGACGAAATGGAACAAGTCCAGACGTGGATAAAGCAATTGCACGGGGCCGAACCCGGGTTCTAGGTACACACAAAAAGCACGCAAAAAAAACAACTACCGACTCTTCTAACAATTTTCTAACCGTACTTACGTAATCTAGCGCTGAACACTAACCACACTAAAGCACTAATCCAGTGGATCTGCCTCGAATTTTTTGACCTGGCGATATGTTTTGTGTTTTGTCTTTTTGTATTACAGCCATTGGCGACCACTGTGTTTTTTTGATTTTTTTTAATGAAATCTTTTTACTAACTGCTTTTAGATGCTAACCCAGAAGACGAGTTTCGAGATGTGACGCCAATTCACAACCGTACTAATCTTTAAATTTATCGTTTATAGGTCGGACTGCTTCTCCTCCGACTATTTTAAAGGCTGCTTGGAGGCTCTGCTGCTTAACGAAGAAATGGATAAATTCGCCAAGATGGTAGAGTATATCGGTAAGAAGTAATGGACCCACCACGCAGCTTGTAAAAGAACGCAACTCAACATATTTTTACCAAACAAAATAAATGTCCTATGTTTATTCTAGTCACACAACAAATCGTATCTATAAAATGCAAAAAAAAACTAAACAACACACACACAAACACACACAATTAAATAATAACGCACGGTCGATTTGATGTATTATTGTATAATTCAAGTATTTCTTTTTAATTTGTTAAATTAATTTAATCTTGGATACATTCTCTGGTTGTAGCATTAATACATATGTAATTCGCACAAAACTCACGAAAACCAAGCACACTCAGACCTGGAGAACAGAAAAATGGATAAACGAATCTAGTTTAAATTCGCATTATTATTCGTTATGCATTTTGTTTCTCCAACAGAAGAACAACAAGAAAACACGCACATCACACATCAATTTTTAATAATTTATTATTTATTTTTACATACATTTTTTTTTAAATACTTAGACAAAAATCATACGCAGCAAACAAAATTCAATCAAGGAAATAAAGAAAAGAGAACATATTTTTTTATTACGTAATTGTTTGTTTGTTTTTTTTATAAAGATATATAAATATTATTTAAATTATTTGTAAATATATCAGTATTTTGTAATGTTATTATTTATACATATTTTTTTTGTTTAGTTTTTAAGTTACATTCGAGGCTGGAACACTCGCATTAATAGTTATTATTATTAAAATATTATTACGTAATTATTATTACTATACACAGCAAGCTGATATATTTATAAATTTGGGTTCTATGTCTTCGTGTTTTTTTTGTATTTTGTTTGTTTTTTATTATTATTATTATAATTATTAATTTTTTTCTACTTAATTGCGAACCCAAAATAACATTCCATATACAGTATTTATTTATACATAGTAACGTTTAATTATTCATTAAGTTGTGACATTTATTATTATAATTACTATTATCCATTTAACTTGTATTAGACAGCAACGGCATGAACAAATCTACTATGTTATTATTTATTGTACACACGGTCTTGTTGATGTTCGTCATTCAAATTCAATGTTGTAAATATCGAAATGTGTTTTGCTCTCTCAGAAACTGTATTTTCTTCGATGTATAAAAAATCAGCTTAAAAATATAAGGAAATGAATATCGACTATACTCTTTTATTATTCTATTCTCCCTTTCCATCTTGAAAATTACTTAAATAGTTATTCCTAAAAATATAATACATTTTTATATTAACTTAACAACTTTATGCAAACAATAAATATTTTAATTATTATGTTATATAAATATATTAGAAATGAAGTTAAAACAGTGAATATTTTTACACATTCCAACTTCCTTATAGTACTAATTAAATTAATATTAATATTAAAAAACATATTTTTTTAAATTCTTTCAGATCAAAATCTTCAATAACATGACATTGTCCTTAATCTTAGATCCAAATTCGTAATGCCCCGAAATTACGATCTAATAGTGATTGCAAAATCCATATTTCGTAACAAAGTATAGTAATTAGTTCAGTCAGTCTGATTATTAAGAAATCAATAATTTATTGCAAATTATGAAATGAAGATATAGCAATCTAAGATATTCCAATCTTCATTATAAACTGAAATCTAACTTAAGCCTTAATAAACAATTGAAGTTGTATGAAACAGTAATAGTTAGATCACTATTGATCACAGTTTTCGCCTTGATCATTTATTATATTATAGACAATGTAAAAACATATCGAATTAATCGCCATAAATTTGGTTTCTAAAAAGTGAGTCGCAAACATTAAATATCAATTTACTACTACAATCATACCTCGACTAACGAATAGGAAGTAATTTTGGGTTAATCGAAACTTCGTTTTTAGAGGTAAAAATACTACGGACAAAAAATTCCTTCATAAAGAAGCTTTTTTTCTAACAAAGGGAAGATTCAATAAAAAGTCAGTTAACATTTAAATATACATATAGCCGTCGTTGTACGCCGCAGTTCCGTTCCTACAAAAGCCATCGGCGTAAAATGAACCATTATTTACAGTGAAGTAACTATAGGGTTTAGTTCCATATAATTGTAAAATCAGCAATTAATAAGCGTTATTTCGCAGCGGCGTTATAGTGAATCGGCGTAAATCGAACCGACACAAAACGACATTTACCTATCTCTCTAAAGTTGATAGTTTGTGTTTTTTCTCCTTCATTCAACAATTGCTTATACGTACTTATTCTATTTATTGAAGACTTCTTCCTAAAACAGGTTTATTTTCAATGTAATTAAGCACCTTTTTAAATCTTTTGTTATTAACATTTTATTCGACAGAAACTTTAATATTCATTTTCTTTATCTTTCGTTGCTAACAAGGTTTTCTAAATCTTCAACTATTTATATATATTTTCTCATGTAGTACAACTTCTGGCCATCTTTTGCGTCAAATTCCATTTAAGAATCACGTTGAATCACGATATTTATGCTGCTGGAAGAAATTGCAAACTTCGTTATTAGAGGTAACGTTAACCAAGGTATTATTGTATTTACTATATACATATCTAGTTTTATACTAATATGTTTATTACATTTATTAACAAGAGTAAAAAAAATGTGTTACTTCAATTTATGTATTTTAACAGTTTTGATTACTAATTACCATTACTCATAGTATTTATTTAGTGCCACATTTGCATAACACTATTAATTAGTCATTCTTCTGGGATCGATATTCCCATATCGATACACAATGCATATGAGATATTTTAAGAGTGAATATAATTTAAAAATCTTATCCATGTTTTCTTTTTAATTATTCTCGGACATTACACAAGATTTGCTTATGCAACCAACTTTGAATGCTTTCACTTTTATTACTGTTTCAATTGAAGAATGATTTAAATAGCAATAAAAGGATTTTCATGAACTTCAAACTTTGCTGAAATCCCGACCAGTGACAAATCCGCTGTTCTTGAATCCAGGACTGTTGATAGTCGGAAATCGATATTCACTCACATGATAGAAATTGTGTCTCCTTTTTGCAACTTGGATTAATGTATACAATTGTACACATAATCACATGCAATGATAGGAAACATTGGGATTGGGTAAATTAGAATTGATGTTGTATATTGTTTTTCATATATATTCTCTTTTTAAATGTTTATTACAATAACAGGACTTTAGAGAGAGATAGAGAAAAATAAATAATAATAATCGGACCAATATTTATGCATAAAGATGCATTACACATGATATATTTATAGTAAATATGTATTATTATTTTTTATTTATTTATTAATATGTATGTCGATGACGATAAATCATCGTCGGAACGATGATAATGATGGAACACAGGGAGGGAAATGAAATGGATGAAAACGAAACGAATATCAATTGACTGCGTAAAAAACACCAGAACTTCCTCTTGCTCATAATGCACATACCATTTTCCACTATCTCAAGAATACCTTATTCGCAAAATAGAAAACAAAATATATAAAATGATGAAATATGAATATAAAATGAAAATAATCTGTTTGTTCTGTGATTATATTCTATGCATGGAATATCACTACTAATTTATATATATACATCAGGGACAACTTAGAACCCAAAAAAATGTTATATTTACACATTTATATATGATAAAAAAAGGAAATATGTATAAGTCATGGCTCGTCCTAGCACAGAATTCCGTCTCCGATTGATTAACAACTAAATTTCGAAAATGAACGTTTTAGGGCCATTTATTGCTTCTGCGATTCTCGAATTCCGTGCGAGGTGAGCGGATTTAAAAGAAAAACAAAATTTAAAAAAATTACCAAAAGAAATATGTATATAATTTCGGTTTCCATGGAAATCCCGAATTGAGCACACAAAATGACGACGAAACATATCTATCAATTAGCACCAAAAATAATAAGAAACAACAAAAGAAAAACATAAACCTATTTTACTCCTTCCGAACGAAACATACTATTTCGAGTATGGCGTTATCCTGAAGTTCAACTACATCCTTTTCTTTTGTATCCTGCTTATTTAACAGATTACGAAGAAAAAAACAGTATTAGCGCACTCGCGCCATCATTATAATTCAGTTAGCGTTTTCCTTTCATACCTTCGATTCGATATAATAAAAAGTTTGTTTTTTCTTCTGCTTCTTATTTTAACACTAGATTTTGTTTTTTTTTTATATAAAGAGTTAAGTTACTAGACGTTATTCATTTATTATACCTAGAGCCTCCCTGTTTGTTTCTTTATAATCTTTTTTTTATTATCCGAGGGGGCGAATTGTAAACTTGTGCGTAAACTACCCTAAGCCTAGCCAGTCGTATCGAAAATGTTCTTTTCCGAGAAAACAAAACATCTTCCGTTTGTTGTGCATCTTTTTTGTTATCTGTACTCTTCTTTCATTACACCAATTCGGATGAGGTGATCGAACAAAATAAAACGTTCAAATGGGAAAATAAAGAAATGAACTCATCGAATTATTATTATCATCATTGACTCTTGCTCTCCGATAATAAAGAATTCTTTCATCGAGTTTTCTTAATGCACGAATCAACTAGAGACTCGCTCAACTATCGCACCCGAAAACATTGGACTCCAAACGAAATATATATATTTTTATAGAGATATATAAAAAACAATAATAATTATAAAGTATATAATAAATACGTTGATATAGCACAAAGATTTCGTTGCCTGTTTAAATTAATAAATATATATTTTTTGTTTATCTCCTGTGCAGAAACAAATTTTCTTTCAGAAATATACTCGAAATAAATGCGGCCTAAAATACACGAATGTTTTAAAACAAACAGAAAACAAAATGTACAAAGAAAACAATAATGATTTAAATAAAAAAAAATAACAACCGACTTTCAACTTCTACATAGAATTCATCATAATATAAAACAGTTTTTTTTGTAATCTTCAATATAATTTAAATATATATATATTTTATATAAATTCTTTGCTCTTTCTTCACCATTAATAAATCTCTTTTTTATACATAATTTATGAATCAATATACAATATATGACAAAACGTTAACCCATATTTAATTAATTACTTAACTTTACAAAAAAACGCGTTAACTATATAGTTCAAAATATTCTCCAAAACAAAGTTGATTCTTCCTCAATGTTTGAATAGTTTTTTTTCTTGTTTTTTTTTTAAATAACAGTCTCAATTTGTATCTGGACTGCCGATCAGTCTTGAATGTAAATATACACACGTGCATTTATATAAGTATGCATATAAGTTTTTCTTCCACGTGTAGATAATTGTTTCTGCCATTCCTTGTTTTTTCTTCTTACCCGAAATGAAATTAAACAAAATGGAGGCTTCGGCTAACTTTTAACTCTCTCGATACTACCAAGAAGAAGCAATATCAACTTACGTTTATGTCAATGGCGTTGATAACCTAATAGCGAACAGTTTGTATTCAAAATTCGTGACTACAATTATTTGTGAAACTTAATTCTTAATACTTCGTCAATTAATAATCACACAAATGGTACAATTGACGCAGAACATTTAAAAGTCTCTCGAATTTTGCTAATTTTTTATGTATTCCGGATTCTGTAATGGTTGATATGTTCACTAATTAAAGTTCGTCCGACGCAATTCGCTTTGGGCCTTCGTTAATTAAATTAAATATCCATCGGATTTTCGTTAGTCACCATTTCGTGATGACTTTGTGAATCGAGCAGAATAATTATTGAAATCAATAAGCTTAACATATAAAACAAAGATAAGTGTATAAAATAATTGTTAGTAGTTAGTCAAATACTTGTAAATGAGTTATGGGAAATGATTCGAGGTAACGAGTAGTTAAAAGTTAGCCAAAAAAACCCTGTGTAAATATACATAAAAAAAAGTATAATAATATGATATATATATTTAATATGTAATAAAAATCTAAATCCGGCGCGCACTTAATTTGAAAATCTTTCACTTATAATATACATATATAATTTTTTGTTGTTGGCCACACTATTGTAAGTCACTAAAACATAACGATCACACTTATATAAAAAAAAAAACGATTTTCAGTTTCATTTCGTGTCTAATTTCTGTTGCCATAACTCCTCTTTCATTGACTCCAAAAAAGAATAACCATATACGACATAGCCATTCACTCTCATTCTCATTCACTCGCACCCACGGTTGTTCGGAACGATTAGAATTCTTACAAAAACAGATTACTCCAAAGATTTAAATTGTTATACTTGTTTCTTTTCTTTCTGTTTTACATTTCGTCTTCTTTTTCGTTCAAATGTAATGCAATCGGCAGTGAAATCCTGCAAATTACTAGAAATTTATCTCCCTCGTCGTTCGCTTATTCTTGGCGTTGTCTTCGTGTACTACTGCGTCCTTTCCAAATTGTAGATGGTCTCTATGTATCGGTTGGAGGAAGGACAGTGTAGCTGTGTGATGTGACTCCCTCACTTACTGTTACGACCTATCTAGCCTGAAGTGATCTTCGACGCTGTCCGGTATCAAGTTTATCCCTGTATCGGAGAGCATCTGCATGCTGTCAAAGTCCAGAGGTTCGAGACCTTCGCGGAGCTCATTCTCGTTGGCCAGAAGCTCAGCCTCTATCTGTTTCGTCAGCGCCATGTCCTGTCTGGACAGCTCGTCTGCAGACGAGAAATCTAAAATACAATAATTTAACGTTCGTCTGAATTATAGAGGAAAAACACACTTACCGGTTAGCACAATATCAGGTATACTGGTTGGAGTATTTGGCGTAGTATGAAGACTCGGCGGGTTTGTCTGGTATACTAATTGCGATGGTGAGGTACTATAGTAACCAGCATCACCAGCCAACTCCGTCGAGACTTCTGGTAAGATCTGAGACTGGCTTTGCGTCAGTTGAACGTTTCCTGGTTCCATATACGAGACGCTACTCACCGGCGTATCCATCTAAACACACCAAATGATAAAGTCAATAATGCTTTTTCCTACTTTCGCACCTTCAGAAGAAACGTATTTTTTTCATTCCAAAACACATTCAAACTTGGATATAAATTATATAAATATTATTTATCAATTAATTCTGACATTGACATCATCCATCTGGAATCATTCACCTATTTACTATTATTTGCACACAAATCTGTTATATTTTCATTACATTGAAATTAAACTAACAGAAATATGGATTTGTTCTAAAGCTATATTATTCATATTTGTATATCCAAGTATAAAGGTATAATCAATTCAGAAATAATGTTCCGTTCAATTCTAGTGCTCTTTGAAAATGTTAACGGAAAAAAACGATAATTTGAAATTCATATCAGCAAATGCTTGTTATCAAAAATTAAAAAACACTGTTGATATATAATACGAATTTCATTTATTACGTGATAATAAAGCATCCGTTCATTTCATGCATTTTCTCAAACATTATTTATGAACTGAATTTTCAAAGAGTATTTTATATTAAATATTACGATAAAAACAAAAATGGTTACAAATAAGAAAGAGGAAACAATATGAAATGAGTAAGTTGAAACACAAAGCGTCCTAATAAGTAATAAATTACAATTTCAATAACAATGCCTTATCGCAGTCACAGTAAAAGTAATATTCGGTTAATTTGAAATATATTTCTTTCTCTCTATATCTCTCTCTCTATTTTTCTTACTCCATCATACGCTCTGTCGTTTTCTTATGAATATTTTCGAACTTTCGTCTTCCGCAAGATTATATTACCATTAAATTAGCATTTCGTTTCTATGCGAATAAATTAAAATAGAAACTTTGGACTCACATAGATAAGGCATTATTTCTAGTTTCGTAATAAAAGCGGAGGGACAAAAAGAACTGAAAATTAAATAAAAGCGTACGTATGTGGGGACATTTGTAGTTGGGAAAGTACGTGAAAGCGAACACTATAAAAGTTGAGCTGTTTAAATAAATGTTTCTGTATAGAAGCTAAAAAAAAACGGAAAAATACTAAATAAATAATTCCCAGGAAAATTGGAAAGATAAAATAACGAAAAAACTATGTAAATAAATAATAAGGAGATTAAAATAGTAGTACTTCAATTGTTCACCTGAACCTGCGCACTCCAAGTACATCCAGATTCCATAAGACTGGCTACCAACTGTGCCCAGTCCTAGCACACACAAATACACACATTATTATCATCAATTGCAAATATCTTCGAGATTTACTAATTACATAAATTATTTAAGATTACATTTACTTTCGTTTCATTTAAACAGCGCAAAAAAGAAAACTCCCCTAGATATTTAGCCCTAATGAGATTTAGCGGCGCAACTGAGATGATGTGGTGGGGATGAGAACAGTAATATTGCAAAACGAGTTGAATGTAAATAAAAGGAAGATAACATACAGAAAAATGCCTTCTAACATGTAAAAACAGACTTACCACTCCCTGGGATGATTAGCAACAAAGAAAAGAATGCGAGTTTCAAATGTTAGTATGCATGTGGTGGAGTGGATCTTGTGGGAGAGGGTATTTGATTGATTGATCGTTGTGTGGTAACGATTTGGAGGATTTCAGGATAACTCACCATTGAAATCCTGTTGAAGTGTTGTTGCAGTTGTGCCGTTTCGTGTTGATTGTAAATTTGATAATCGCTGAGAGGACTTGGGGCACCGGGGCTTCCAGGTGCCGAATGTCTTCCTCCTAGACTGGGCGACAATTGCGGGTTGGGACGAGGACTTCTGTATCCAGCAATTTGCTGCAACTGTATACGAAAACATTCAGAAAAAGAATTGTTTTAACTTGTAAATTGTTAAACTTGTAAACCGGGTTTTTTAATTAATAATGTAAATAATTTTAAAATTTGTAAATTTGAAAACCAATTTTCATAACAATCATTACAAAACAATCTACACAAAGTATTTTCTCTTTCAGGTAATTCTGTTCTAGTTATATTTTAACTGATTCCAGTTGTTATAGTTTTGTTAGGAGAATATTTTATTTTTATAATTTATTTAACTTTTTTAAATATTGGAATTCGAAAACTGTTTTATTCAAGATTCTGTTTTTTTTTGGTATAAAACCTGCTACTAAACACATGTTAAAATTCTTACGGTAGGCGACGGTGATGTTGGAGGTACGGGCTGCTGGTACACGTTCATCCCCCTCATGAGTGTAAAGTCTTGATTATCTATCGTTGAATTGTTATCCACGACAACCTGCACAAATCAATCAAGAAATTAGAGAATCGTTAGAAAATTATTTAACATAATTTTAATGTGCAAATACTAAAGCGCTCATCAAATAATACACTTACCTTATTACGATGCATGTACCTAGAGTTAACTGGGACTGATAAATGGTTCTGTAACAATAACGTAAAAAAAACAACCATGCAAAACCAAAAATAAAAATCAAATATACTTCGTTTAGGTCAGTAGTCTTCAAACTCTGTTCCAAATACGTCAAAATCAAAATACTAATTTTTATAAGGAACACAAATCAAACTTCAACTTCTGATCCAAAATTAAGTGACAAAATATGATTCAAAGATTTTTTCGATTTTAAATGAAGTTGAATGATATAATAAAAAAATATGTACAGCGTTTTGAAAAACTGAATTGATTCAATTTCATATAGGAATTTAAAAGTTTCTTTTTGGAACACATTTCACAAACTACATATGATAACAGTGATTAATAGTTAAATGATTAATCCTATTTAATACTTTTTATGTTATATTCATTTTATTCTCTTAAAATATCTTTATTAAAAAAATATTGACCTTGGGACAAAAAAATATATTCTTAATAATTCTGTGAGTAGACAAAGTTTGAAGACCACAGGTGTAGGTGTTACACGAAAAAAATAAATAAAAACAGACTAACTAAAAACAACGTGCATAGTAAGTACAATATTGATCGCAAATTAATCTAAATTACAATGTGATTGTAATCTTGTAAGAGCAAATATAGCAACATTTGTGCGTATAAAATAAATCAAAACTAAACAAAGACACTGGATAATCTCTATTGTTTGTATTTTTTGTGAGTGGACTAGAGAGTAACAATTAAAGTTAATAAATATTTACCTGATGCGTTGATACAGGGGTGTTAAATGGGAAACGCCCAGTTTGCTGTCGGGCGCCTGGCAGGATACTCGTTGGTGATAACGTCGATGGACTTGTATTTACAGGACTCTGCAAATCACGAGCAACATCTTCGTAAGAAATATGTTGATGATTTTCAAACATATCAAAACGTACAGAACTATAAGGTGAACTCCCCTGATCGTGTTCTTGATCAAGGGGTGCGTGTATAGGTGAAGGGAAATGTACACTTGTGAGATCTGGCAATGATCCCGTATTGTTTCCAATTGGGATTTGTATTGTTCCTGGTTCGTGCGCTGTATGATAAATACTAAAACAAACAAAACAAATATTATATTAATCAGAGCAATATCAACACTGCAAATTAAATATATAAAATCGGCAAATATCCATCATTCAACTTGCACGAATTTGATGTTTTATATTTCAGAATGATCTTCATTGAAACTGCTAATAATTTTAACATGCAAACGACACATCACTTATCGACGGAATATGCAAAGCAGCGTCACAATTACCACTTTCTCATTCAAATCAAATAATTAACATTTCCATAACGACATCTTTAATTTAAAATACACAGTCCACTTTTGTCCAAAAGTGTAAAACAGTAATAAATTATATAATAACCCTGATCTAAAAGATAGAAAGCGGTTTATTGAAATAAACGAATTAGGCATATAAACAATCTAACAAGAAAAATCTAATTTATGTTTATTTTTAATTTATTTCAGTATTGAAATTTCAATATCACAAATCATATATTATTATTTCTGTACACTAAACAAAACATCTCATATTTGCTTTAATTTGTAAACAGATTAAGTAAGGAATTAAGATAAATGAGCAATATTAATTATTATTTCACCTTAATATATGCCAAGAACCCGACTGTTTGACGTAGAGAAAGCATAACAAAAATCACACAAATTCTAATCGAAAGTACACAAATATGTTAATAAGAATTATGCAACGTTGAGAATTAACATACTAAACATTTGCAATGCAAACGGTTACGTTTTTTTATTTTTTTTTGATATCTGAAAAATATTTTTCGTGCAGCTGGCGACCTTTTCGAAATGATGAACGTAACATAATAAAATCACGGATGTTCGTATCCAATTGCATTAAGTTTCGCAGAAAGTCGCAATGAGAGAGGTGAGCGATATCCGCTCAATGAGGATAACTCAATTAACACAAATCCTAATCAATTTTATAATTGTTCGGTATAATTGGAATGCCACGAAACAATTACAGATACCGGCACATTTTTCGCATGCTTCACCTGCAATTCGCAATTACAATTACCAATGTAATTCTTATATAATAACCATTGAAGATGCAACACAATATTGATAAAGCGTCAGTATAAGTTTTTAAGAATAATTGTATTTAAAATTTTAGGAAATAAGTTAGTTTCTAAAAAAAAATAACAAATCCATTAAAATTAGTTTAGATGAGTTTCCAATTGATTTATGGTTACATACTTCATTGATATTGATAAATTTATTTATTCGGGTAAGTTTCATTGAATTTAAACTTATAATTCATAAAAACAATTGCGTTGTGCATATAATTAAAGAAAAATAATTATATAACATTTTTAATTTTGTGTAGAAACTGAATGGAAAGTTGTGTATCTCTTTTCGTAAACCAATAGTTATTTTTTAAGGTAATAATTTGTATTTCCTTGTTCATTTATTTATATAAAGAATTGTTTGTTTCTGTTCAGGGTTTATAGTTTCCAATTCATATAGTTTTGTTTTTTTTTGTTGGAACAAAACTTAACTAAGCAAAGCAAAATGAATTGTAAGAAAAATGACTCGCTTAACGAGCGACGTTTCGCATAATGAGTGACGATGAGAAGTCCCGGATTGCGAGCCTGCTACATCATTTTTAAAACTTGTGTACACATATTACATGTATTTTTTAATATGTTTCACTACACGAGAATTTCACTATAGGGAAACATCCGGAAATTTTGGAACGGATTAAACTCGTTAAACGCAGATCAATAAATTGTAATTATTATTTATTACATGTAATATAATAGATTGCTTCGAGTTATGTTTCTGTTTTATATATATTTCCGGTAATCAGATTAGCTTTATAAAATGATGTAACCATCATTATTTGTCCCAATTTTTTTGTGCGAAGAAATATGATTTATACCTTGTATCATATTAATGATAAAGAAATCATATGTTTTTTACTTTTATCTCTTCTTGAGTACAACATCCATGGAAAAGACAAATTACCAACTTAAACGCCGATATTGGCTGGAGGAGATAAAGTGTGACCAATTCTAAAATAATCCACAAATAATATATATGTAATAAACAGTTATCTTAACTATGAGTGAGAAAAATTCAAATAAAAGTAATCTAACATCCATATAATTCAATGTTTCCTTTTCACTTAAAATATTAAAAGACACCGAAGAATGTGTAGAAAAACATCCCGGATTGATCTGTCATCAATTTTTCTGCGACCTCCACTTTGAGAATCACTAGTCTTATATTATATATAAATAGTTTCATATTTATGTAAATACATTATATAAATATGAAAATCTGGAACTTAGTCATGTGTACTAAATTTTTAAATCATCTTATAATAAATGTAAAAGTTATAAACAATGTACTTTTCATATTTAACTAATTAACAAATCACCTATATTTAACAATATCTTTAGTAAGTAAATAAGAGAAAATAAAACAATTAACTAATATGCAAATAATGCAGTATTTCATTTATAAATATTATTAAAATGTTTATAAATAGAACTGTCTGAGTAATAACATGTGATATTTTTTGTAATAATTAGCAGGAAATAATTAATTTCATATTTATTCATTTAAATACACTATTTATAGGATATAATTAAAGGAATTGTCAATATTATTACTGATATTAATATAAGGATATTTCTTCTAAATTATTTAAAGAAGATGCAAACAAATAAATGCTATGAATTAATATAAATTACATTATTGAAAACCAGCAGCAGACAGATTAGAATATATAGTTCTCATTGTCGAAATAACAATAACATTACTTTAAATTTTGTTCTAAACCTTTGTTGAGATGTAAACATGGGAATGGCATAAAAAATATAAAAATATTATAATTTGTCTAGAGTTGTATCGTGTATAAAATTAGTAGATAATCGTGTATGTGTAGCCTATTCGTGCAAGAACAACCACTTCCTATTCGACAAGGATTTATAACTTCCCAGAACAGGTGGCCAATCCTTTAACGACAATACTCACACGTCAACGAAACCCCATTATTAATTATGGCGTTTATTTCGGACGCATTTCTATAATTAGATCATCGCGATTTCAGGAATGATTAATCAATCAATCCAGATGCCTATAATCACCAGAAAAAGCTAAAAAGACATTCTTACTTGATACCGGGAACACGAGGCACTTCACAGCTGGACCTAGGTCGTCTGTTGTCGTGATGCTCGGGTCCATTGACGGCTGGCACCATCCAGCGACTATTTGTGCTATCGTTCCTTTCCGTGTTCATTCCCTTCATTGATCGAATCAACAAACAGAAATATGCAATAAGTTCATCTCAATTTGGTGATAAATATGTAAGGATAGGTGATACCTGCATGGCGCTCTGATGAAGAGCCGAGTCACTGTTGGTCCTCCTCCAGCTAGTATCCGGTGGAGGGCTGAGGAAAGGTCCACTGGAATAAGGAGACGTGTCGTGTTTCCTATCCTGCGGTCTCCTAATTGGACCGCCCTGAGATCTGGCCCTGCTTTCCCTGAAGTGCACATTGGTGTGCGAATGCGACACCTCATCCGGCTGCAACAAAGACCCACGCACACCAAAATTAATAATCAACTTTAAGACGAGACACAAAAAAATAGCATACAACAATCGAACAAGCAGCTAATACAGAACGAAACAAACTGAAAAGAAGAAAAATCATTTGCGAATTACAATTAATTATTTCTAACATGCAAACTACATGCAGCATTATTATTTAGTAATGGGTGACGTTAATTGGCTAAATCCAAGTAAACCTCGTAGATTTCATTGTTCGAAAAATGACGAAAATCTCGATTTTAAACAAATAAACCAAAATTTACTCGCTTAAATTAATTTACCAAATCTCTTCGAGTACACAATCTCCAACCAAACACCACTAATCTGTCCTGAGATACTCACCACAAGAATTTAGTAGTTTCCAAAAATAAATCAAAACGTTAAAAGTACAAGATAACAAATGATAACTTCGACAAAATTTACAGATAATCGTGTAATTTAATTATTATTAATAACGTCCTTAATATATTTATTTATGCACCAGTTTGTTTGTCAATACTTAAATTTTGGCCTTGGGATGTTCGATCAACGCTAATTAAGTGAACGATAACAGAATCTAAACAAATAATCCAATACAATTTCCTTGTACATTTATTTCAACGATTAAATATAATAACATAGAACAATTTAAGATATATATATATATATAATAGAATACCTTCGACTAATAGTAAAATTTTCTCTATTATAAATTATCCATTTCAGATCCTCAAAATATATACTACAAAAAACATTTTAATTGTTTGATCATTTTGGAAAATATATAAAAAAATAATAATTTGAATTATGTTATATAAAACATATTGTATAATAATAGAAGAAGCAATATTATGGATCAATAGAAAATTAATTACGCTTCTTTCATCTAGAATTTATTAGGTATACGTTGTTGTTAACTAATTACCACTTTATTTATAATTGATGGGAGCTTTGCTTGAGTTTAAAAATCTTTTTTATCTCTAGTTTTTTATTCAAATTTTAAGTTGTTCGAACATCTAAATGTTCTAAGTTTAAGCGTCATATATTATATAATGTTGAAATACTATATTTTTTAATAAAAATAACCGCTAATTTCAAAGAAACAAAGTATAGTACAAATGTTTCCTTTATACAGTCAAGACTTTTTGTGCGGTTTACTTTAGTACCTTAATTAGTCCGCAATATTGGCGCAACCTATAGTCGAGGCATTGCTGTATTTAAACAACATACATTTATTAGTTAGGATCTCGACTAATTTAATAGATATCAGGAGCATTCTATGATATATATTTATCTTATGCAGCTTATAAAAAACATCTCAACTCCATTCCGAAGTAAATCTTCAGTAAATGTATACATATATAGATGCAGCGTGTTTTTGTAAATACGACGAGATAAGAGTGTGAAGATGTATTTTTTCATCGAAAGATCAGTAGCCACGTGACGTGTGCACTATATGAATATGTGGAAACAAGCTTTGGCAGCCAGATAAACCTTCGGAACGGTCGAGCGTCGTCTGCTGATCCTCCAATCTATTTGCCCAAATTGTTCGCATTTTGATACTAATTTATCAAAATTCACGAGACGTCAATTAATTATTTGCATTTCATTCCGTCTAAATTAATTTCCCAAACAATAGTCTACTCCATTCATATACAAAGATTCAAATGTATTTTTTTTTGTCTAAAATACAATTGTATAACTATGAAAATAAATAATATTCTTATTTCAATAGATATATTGAAAGTTGGTTTTGACTTTTACAATTCTATTATAACGTTTATTTAAATAAATCGAGTTAAAAAAGGAAAGAAATTTCTTCGAATGCATTTTTGCATTATTGGAAACTATTTCATTCAGTTAAAATGCATTAGTATTAGTAATGCATTAGTAATTTAATTGGAAAATTAAATGTGTTACTTTTTACGTTATTTTGATTATTTTCGAAGCACGTGTGTGTAAACATACAAAAGAAAACATCAAAATGAGACATTTGCATTGGAACAATTCAATCTATACGACTTATTGCAGATATTTTGTTTTATTTATTTTTAATAATTCATTATTTTTGTTAAATACTCAAAAAAAACTAAGCAATTTTTAAATAAAGTTATAATTTTGGATTAATTGCTTTTCTTTTGTATAAATATATTTTATAATTTCATAAAAAAATCTTAATTATTTCAATATAATTTGTCCCAAAATTATTTTCTTGCAAACCTTTCAATTTTTTAGTAATTAATATTAATAATATAATTAATATAAGCAATGCGTTATCAACTAAAAAATTAATTAAAATTCAATTTTCATGAAAAAATAATATCAAAATTTATATTATATAATTGTTTTATTTAAATGATTTGTGCAAACGTTTCTTGAATAAAAATATTGGTATTGACCACTAAAACTTTAAATAACGTAATCATTGACTTTTATACATTTTATCAAATGAATGAACGAAGTTAATGTTATTTATACCTTATTAATTGAATATGATTTTGTAAACAGATTTTATATTCAACAGCTGCTTCATAATTTCATCATTGCCTTTTACATGGAAGCTTGTGAAAGAACTTGATGCAATGTCACATTTATAATCGTATAAAAGTATAATTAAGAAATCCATATTTTTAAATGTAATGACCTATAATAACTGAAGACACAATATCGATCATCACACTTACACCAAGCAAAAGCAAATAAGAAATCCATATTTTTAACAACTCGATATGAACTGAAGATCAGAATGAAAATAAGCATAACTTGCATTCAATGTTAAATAAAAAAAACACTAGCATATAGCACATACGATTATTTAAACGGACGATCGATGAGATTTCAATTATTTAACGTACCTAACTCAAAGATTATTAAGCAATAAAAAAATATGTCGTGCACCGAAACAAGTTGCATGGAAGACGGCCATATAACTGGATAATAATAGAGAGAAATGTACTGAAAGTGTCAGGAGTGAGTATAATTATAATTAACATCAATATTCTCTGTTTGCACTTAGCATTTGTAACACCGAAAAAAAGGAAAGCTTCGTAGTTATGTAGAAATTTCTTGGACTGCATTTTTGCATTATTAGAAACTATTTCATTCAGTTAAAATGCATTAGTAAATAGTTTATTAATGATCTAATTGGAAAAGTTAATATGTTTTACTTTATGAAAATATCATTCATTATTTTCGAAGCACGTGTAAACATATAATTTTTATTTGCTTATAAGATTTTTATTTAATTGATTTAGTATTAAAAATTTGGAATTTTATAATGATTTAATTGAAGCAATTATACAATTATTATGTGTAAACTTTAATGTTTTATTGATATAACTATTTTTTCTATAGCAAATTAAATGCTAAATTGATAAGATTATGCTAAGAGTGTAGAGTTTCTTTTGGAGAATTGTGGAAAAAATATGCTGATATCAACAAATTGCTTAGACAGACAAAACGTGCTATCAAGAGTTAAAAACAAAACAATATTAACAAGTCTATATAAAAAAAGTGAGAATATTTTAAACTGTGGGTATAATTTATTAAGACATTTGCTTCATGAATGCAATGGTAATCACGATCGACTATATAAATAAATATGTATCACTGAATGTTTACAGTTTGATATAAAAAAAAAGAAAATAAAGTGCAGATTAGCAAATACACAAATAAACAGACGATTAAAGAATGTATCGATAAGGTTGCAGACACACACAGGTTATTTTCCTCTTTTTCCTCCTTCCTCCTAAAAATTTGAAATTCAAATAAGCCCAGTGTTTTCTTACAACGAAAGTAATAATAAATGAGCATGTGTAAGATATGCAGCAAGTAGTACGCAGTAGAACCGATAAGCCTTGAGCTGGCTAATAAATAAATAAATAAAAACACAGCAGACATCATGAACATATAATCAGTTTCGGTATAGTACGAAAAACAGTGGAGCTCATTAACAAATCATTGAATTCCTTTTCCGATCTTTATCAGATTTCTAGAATCATTAATAACAGGAATTTCCTGCAACGACGGAACAAAAAAATGTGAAAGCTGCCAGGAAATCGGTTGTGCCTTTGCGAAGTAGAAAATCAGCGAAGATTCCAGGTTGGAATTGAATTTACCTCGAATCCTGCACCAATTAGAACCGGTTTCCAGGATTCGACGAGACCCAGACAATTTAAATAGATTTGCATTTTCAATAACGGCTGTTGCCGAATCGAATCGAAAAATACTTTCAAACCGTCGGCCTTTTTAAGTTTCAATTATTATTATTTTTTATTGAAGCTGCCATTGGTAATGGATGCTTTTGTATATAATATATGTTTTTGATGTTTCAGTGTAAAGTTTTGACAGTTAAATTTAAAAAGAGTTCAACGCTTTTTGGAAAATATTTTGTTTCTTACCAAATATTTTAATAACAGATAACCAATGACCTTACACAATTTCCAATAACTAGTTTTGAATATAAGTTCTTCTCGATATGTAAAAAGTTCACTTGTAAGAATCAAAGTCAATTAATAATTACAACATTTACTATCTAACAATACTAACTGACTTAAACCAGAATTTAACAAGTCTAATAATCAAGTCATTTGAAACGTTATATACATTTTATTTGTAAATTGTTGTTGAGACATTTTTTGTCGCATTGATACTTATTTTTAATATATATATTAACGATTTGTATAATATTAATCTTTAATTATATTATTGAGTGCAACAGATATATTTTTTAACATTTCCTTTTCTTTAATCAGTACTTTTTAATTAATTAATGGTAAATATTTAGTAAAATAAATTATCAGTCAGTATACATTATTTTAATTGAGGTTTTCGCGCTATTAGCTTAGGTTATTTTATGTTATTCTCAATATAAACATCCTCTTGAATGTTTCTTGTTGATACAACTATTTGTACAAAAATAAGTTTCGTTAAGCATGTTGACTAGAATTGTTTAATGATTGGACTTTAGTGTTGCTGGTTCAATCCCATAGTTGTGT